TAAAGATTTAAATTCTTGTTCCCAAGGAATGCCTTTCAGGGAAGCCCCACCTATGAACTGGGTTTACCAGTTGTTTTCTGGTAGCTTTAGCAGCTCTTCTTTTAGTCATCAAGGAATTTGCAGTTAACTTTAGATCTAGTGCCTATCCTTTAAGAACAGACTTTCTCCTTACTTTTCCATTTAGAAGAAGTCCTGTTTCCATGAATATTGAGAATGCTCCTTCAGCAGTATTTGTTGATGTCTTTGAAACATGTTGCATGAAAATTCTAAAACTGATTTATTGCTGGATACAGACTCTCTGAGATTTTAAAGGCACAGCTTCTTAGGCTCAGGGTTCCTTTTATCACCTACTCAGTGTTGCCCTGGGATGTCTGTATAGAGGGAGAGAGGTGGACTACACCTCTTTTTATTTTACTTACATGTTGTGTAAGATTTTTGAAAGTTATGCACTAGGCCAGGATATAAAGTATAAACACACACGCATAACATATAGGAACATAATTCTACTAAGCATGTTGATTTTGATTTATTGCATTTCCATCTGTTTTCCTCAGATTAGGACGGTAGTTCTGGAATTGAGCCTAAAACTCTGAGAATTTAGGACCTAATTTTACTGAGGGACCTTTTTCTCCCGAGTTCTGTGTTCTACATTATATATGAAGCCCAAGTATATCAGGAGGACTATAATTATAATTTGGTCATAATGTGTGTTTCTTTTCTCTCTCACTATAGAAAAAGGCTCATAGTTTTTTCATAGGGTTTTCACCTGCTCCTTGTGACAATCAGTCATATCGTTTCTATTCTGGGGAGCCGCCTGTGGCCAGGGGTTCACATGTTCCATCCTTCACTTACATCTTTTAATTCCTCTGGCTCTTCTTTTCTTGGTTTTAATACACTGAATTGGTTTCAGGGATGGTGGTGGATAAACCCGAGTGTTAGGTCGGGAGAGGGATTAATTTAGAAGTGTCTTAGTTCATGGCAGCTAGTTTGCATGCTGAAACCTGAAATGGCCAGCCCATTGTGAGGTACCAGGTAGAGGCATCCTCAGCTTGGGCATGGGAGACCGTGCTTACAGTTTGCTAGAGTGGTGCCAAAAGGCTCCTCGTGCCCCTGCACAGCCAGCCAGGCCTTTCCGAAGGAGGCGTGCGTTTTGGTTCAGCACAGGATGTACGAGTCTCAGAGTCAGTTTTAATTATGTGATTTACGCACATCTTATCTAAGCAGGAAGTCAATCAGTCACATTGAAAAATTGCACAGCATCGTGGTGGGTGCTGATTTCTGCCTTCAAATGCTGTTTTTATCAGATGTCACGAATTTTATGTCCAAGTTAGATTTCCTGTCTGCTTGTCACTATTTATTGCAGAGCTTCCCACAAATCCTCAGTTCACATCACTCATATTGTCACAGTACTTTTCATGGAGTCCTTAGGCCAAAAGAAATACCTAAGTACTGTTTATTAAGTACTTAGAACCAAGTAACCTAAGTACTTATATGCTAACAGCATAGTAGGCATTTGAAAAAAAATACCCATAAATTTAAAGAAAACCATTTGTATTATTTTTAATAACCACAACTCTTACTAATGGGATGTGTGTGTCTGTTGGGCACTGCCCAGCTTCTCCAGTTTTGAATCAGGTCGCTCATAGCCCTCCTCATTTTGTTCCACATTGATTTTTGCCCAGTACTTGCTTTTTATCATAGCAGCCGCCAAAAATACCCCGCTTCACAAATATATGACATCATCGAAAAGAATGTAGCATGATCTAATGCTGAAACTACAGTTTCCGACAGATGTCAGGTATCGTTGTGTTTTCCTTGAAAATGTGAACTATCCCAGGACACCCCTCTAAGTTTTCTAGGGCACCTCAGCACACAGTTTGAACACGGTGGGTGTGTTGCATGATTTAATTTTTTTTATTTGATAGTTGTAGGTGGTTTTATCTTTTAAATATTTTTAAAAGTCTTCATTCTCTCCCATTCTGAAACAGTATGTGCTCCTTTAGTCTTCGCCATCAGAGGTGGTTTCTCATAAGTGAATTGGTAGCTATGGCTGAATGTTTCTGATTAAAGTTAGTTTTTATCTACTTAATAGGTGATTGACTGCAACTCTTGGGCCCAATGCCTAACAGAAAAAAAATAAGTGCCATAAAAGTAATTTTTCTTTGTTTAGTGCTTATCTGTACTTTGTTCTGTCTCACCTAAACTTTGTTCTTGGCTTAATTCTCATTTAGCTTCTCCATATACAACTTCGACTCCAAACATCAACAGTGTGAAAAATGCTGATTCGAGAGGATCCCTCATTAGCACCGATTCAGGGAACAGCTTTCCAGAAAGGAATATTGAGAAGAGCAATTCCCTGGATAAGGTAATTTCTTTTCAGATAATGTGTTTCTTATAACAAATAGATTTAGCCCAAAGTAAACATATTTCATGTTCTAGTGTTCATTGTGTGACCTTTAAAACAAAACCACAAAAACCTTTGAACTAAGTAGTAACTAAGAATGGGGCCCATTCCCTGGAACCCCCTGCTTCCTGTTTCCAGAATACCAGATTCGGGCAGTGTTTACAATTTGGCAAGTGGTTCTGGCAGGTTGGAAACTAGGGAAATCAGAATGCCACTCATTTAGAACCCCTGAGGTCTGTATGCCGGAGAACACCATTTATAACACAGCTGTCCATACACACGGGCATTGGTTCCAAAGCCAGCTCCAGAAAAGATTAATTGACCATACAGGTGATTCCAGGGTAAGGCTTCATTTCAAATCACTTTTTCACACTGCCCAACCTCAGCCCAACAGATCTTCCTTATATTAAACCTTCTGTCTTGAAATGATGAAGGCTCAGACTATTTGGGACTTTGTGGGAATAGATAAAGCTTGGATTTAAACGTGAGACCGTGACAGGTTGATCTCACTTGGCCACTGTTGTCCTAATTTATTTCAAGGTATAGGCAAGCACATGTACGTTGAATAAACAGGTGAACATTTAGGGATGTATTCCTAGCTCTCAGAACATGGGACACATCCTTCCCCGGCACCGGGTTTGTCATCTCATCACACGTTTCCGTGGCTGGCATTGACATGGCTGTCCGTAACGGCTGTGTGTAGAGGTGTGTGCATCGCAGTGTGGGGTGTGTCATGACCTGTCGAACTTCTCCCTTGACCCTGACATGCCTTCGCGTGTAGAGGGAGAAGCTGCTCAGGAGGCACTCCGCCTGCGTCCTACGCAGCGCTGGCCAGGAGGAGGAGGAGGAGGAGGAGGAGAGCGGCCAGTCAGCCAGGAAACACCGAGCCACTATGGACTTCTCCCTTCTCACCATCCCGCCTCTGCCCGAGGAAACCTTGCCTGCGGCACCTTCCCTCCCGCCGCAGGAAGTGCGGAGTCCTCCCAGCGGCTCTGAGGAAGTGGGTGGGCCAGGTGATGCATCTGCACCCCGGTTTTGCCACTAACAGCTCCCATATTTCTTCCTTGACTACAAATATTCATGGATGTTATGAATTAGACCTATTTATCATATTTTTTTTCAATTGCCCACTAATACCTTGAATGAGAGAGAGTTTTTTCACTGATCTTTCTGCTTTGGTATTTGGCAAAAAAATTTCCCTGACTTCAGTTGGAAATGTAACTTTGAGGATTTTTGAATCTTCTGTGTTTTTATCATGAGATGCGATTCTTGGGTTTTTTTTTTGTTTGTTTTTTTTATGTGAACCCTTTGAACTTGTGAACCTGCTGTCTAGTGGCAAAACTGCCCTCGCCCTGCATCCTGAGTTTTCTGGTGTTTGCGGTGTTGAGCTAAGCTGATGATGGCGTGACCTCATCAGCTTAGGGTCTTTGGCAGTGCTGTGCTGAGGTGACCCCAGTTTTTCCTGTCGGGCACCTGCCCCTGGTCTTCCCCAAGGGTGCCCCCTGAGGTAACTGAATGGCAGCAACTCAGCCCCAGGCTTTTATGGCTGGCACTCAGCAGCACCATAGACCTCTGCTGTCTCAGCCACGGACGTTTTCCTGAGGATGTGGTTGGTTCTGCAGTGTCGTCTGAATCATCATTCCTGCGAAGGAAAAAGAGTGACAGAAAAACAGAGCAACATTTCAGAACTAAGCTGGTAACGCAACGATGGTCATCCAGTGGGAAAGGCTGGCGCCTCTGGCTTGTCCCTTAGGAGAGTGTGCTCAGGAGACGAGCCAGAGCGTGTGTGGAGCAGCACTTGTGTGTATTCGGGGAAGGCGCCTGATGTGTGTTGACAAATTATCTCTACCTTCCAGTCGGAATGATTGGGCTCAACTCTAAGAACCTTTCTCTTCCAAGGTAGAAAAGTGAAGCTGATTTTGTGTTACCTGCTGTTGAAGGAGAAAAACCCACCCGTATTTCCTTTCTTTAGCACCAACAGAGTGGCACTTTGGGGAACACCATGGTTCGCTGTGACAAACTGGACCAGTCTGAGATTAAGAGCCTACTGATGTGTTTCCTCTACATCTTGAAAAGCATGTCTGATGGTAGGTAAAAATGGAGATATCTGCTTTACTTTCCTTGTTTTGGTGTTTGGGTTACTTTTTAAAGATTATAATTGGTTGAAAGGATATAAGGATTTAAAACAATTTTCCTCCTTGTTTGAAATACATGTTGATTTTCTAAATGGAGTAGAAATAGAAGTCTTAATTTGGAAAAGTATTTTTATTATTTTATTCTAGAGAATGAGTCCTAAAATGTGAATGGGACTATTTTATACATTTATGTTGAACTTAGACCTACCATCTTAACTAAAGGAGGCAGCTGCAGAGAAGCAAAGCAGCTTTTTGATTTTGTTTTAAATGTCATTGTTTAAACAAACATACTGGCAACTTGCACAACTTGATTAGTCTGTTTCTTGAATTAGAAAATACAGTGTTGGGGAACCTCAGCATCTCTTCCATTTAGAGTGTGCGACATTGCTGGCTTTACCGGAAGCAAATCGTGTTATTGAAATATCCTCTCCTGAGGATCTTTTTTCCATTGCTCTTCAGAGAGAGCGGAGAGGAGGAAGGGAGGAGAGAGAGAGAGAGAGAGAGAGAGAGAGAGAGAGAGAGAGAGAGAGGAACACTGATGTGAGAGAGATACATTGATTGGTTGCCTCGCGCACGTGCCCCTTCAGAGGCAGGGAGCAAATCCAAAATCCAGGCACATGCCCTTGACCAGGAATCAGCCCTGAGACTCCTAGGTCTGTGGGCTGATGCTCTAACAACTAAGCCACAACGGCCAGGGTGTTCCTTTTATATCAGGCTTCCATTTTAGCAGCAATACAGCCTGATCTTACAACTCAGATGTTAGGAACAGCATACGTGTCCTTAAAGTGCTTCAGGACTGGATTATTTCATTCTTCTGTCAGTTTGTTACCTTTAAATAACTAGTTAAAAAAAGAACAAACAAGATTTTCTTTGATGACCAAATGCAAGAGCACTGGGCACTTATTCTGATATTTGGGTTATAAAGTTGAAATTCTTTTCATTAAGTCAAAAGTTCTAAACTTTCTATTATGGTAGTGACTTTTAGCCAGAAATGATCCTATTTTTTCTATGTTGAAAGATTTTTAAAAATATTTTAAGTTTCAAATAATAAATATGGTTTATAACATAACTGCTTTTTAAAGACAAATACCAGAAATTTTGCATCCAAGTGAAAGTTATCCTTTAAAGTCAGCCCTTTGGAAGGCCATGCACAGATTTGAAGATACAACAACCTCTTCAAAAGAGTTTTATAGTATTTTTTAAATTACCTGAAGCTATTCATTTCTTTCCTTTATAATTAGAGTTTTTTGTGTGTCATGTTTCAGAAATCTTCAACTATCTCTAGGATCATGAAGATATTCTCCTATATTTTCTTTAAAAGCTCTATTACTTAAATTTTCACATTTAAAGCTTAGCTACCAAGAATGGATTTTTGTGTATGGAGTGGGGTAGGGGAGAAATAGTCTTCAGCATAGTTGACCAGACAGACAATCAAAATCGATTGTGTAACTCTTGTGTCTATTCTTTCCTTTATTCCACACTTAACGAGGACCTTCCACATGCTGGGCCCTCACGCTCCGTGCCTTCTTGTGCCTCCTCCCTTCTTCATGGAGCTTGGCTTGCTCTTCCCTCTCTTCTCAGCCAGTAGCCTGGCCACTGACCGGCCACACATGTCTGCACGTTGACCTGGAGAGGCCCACCAGCGTTCAGTTGGCTTTCTGGGTTCTCACAACACCAGGATGACCAGGTTCAAATAACCAGAGCCTGTCACTCTGGAATCTAAACTCAAAACCCCTGAAAAATGGAAGCTCCCTGACCCACCCTTGTCACTGGCCCAATAGGCCAAATACGGCTTTTAAAATCAGGTGTACTAAATTAGAGAATAACTTAACTTCCCTGAGCCTTCATTAGCTTCTCTGTAAATTGGCACTCTCTGCCCCTGTGGTGAGAATTTGATGGTATACTGTATGTGACATCATGAGACCACCTAGCACAGCGCCCACACATAACAGATTCTCAGTCTATATCCCCTGGCTTCCCCGTATGTCACTGTTCCTGGCAATGCAGAGGAACAGTCCACGGCCATGCATCTTCCTGCGCCATCGGCATCTCTACAGCCACCTTCTCACTCAACCTCAGGCTCCCAAATCAATGTCTCAGAGAGAAATCTCTTCACCTGTTTCTGAACCTCAATGTAAAATACTATAAGAATGTAAAAATATTTAACCATCCAATGATAACAGTCTGTGGAGTGTGCTAAATGGTTAAGGGTCATACACAGAACATACTTCCTGCAAATAAATTTGTAGAATTTGCTTTAATTACAATAAACAGATGGTCTCAATGAAGAGTAAGTGTGGGTTCTTTATCAAGAGTATAGTGTAGCATTGTGTGGGGAAGCAGGCACTGCTTGTTTGGAGGTCTATTTAGCAGTATCTGTGGAAGTTGAAAATGCACATACCATTTGACAGAGCTATTTCACGTCTAAGAATTTGTCCTGTAGACGTAGGTGGACAGGTGTGCAAAGACCCATGCAAAAGATGTGTGTTCAAGCACAATTCATAATAGCTGTTGGTCAGTGCACATCACCGCAACGGTTGAGCAGCCTTAGCGTATCATTAGCATATTATGCTTGATTGGTGGAACCAGACAACCAGACACTTATCATATTGGGCTTTTATTATATAGGCTAGCACTAGATGATGTACAAAGATATTAAACTTCAAGGTTCAAACATAGCTTCTTTAGATTGAATAAGCCGGTGGTATGTGTTATCCAGGTGGGTCACTGTGGTTCGTCCTCTGATTAGCTGTAAAAGGGGGCAGGGTTTGGAGGCCTCCTGAGATCTCCTCCCACCTCATAATGTACAGAATGCGCATCATGACTCTGACATGATAAATGTTTACTTTCTAGATGCTTTGTTTACGTATTGGAACAAGGCTTCAACATCTGAACTGATGGACTTTTTCACAATATCTGAGTGAGTAGCTTTGTTTTGTTAATTGCCTCTTGATTTTTCCTGGCCAGTGAAGAGGTGTGAAGAACACTGTGTAGCTGAACCAGGAACGCAGATATTCATATCCATACTCTTAAGCTATTTCTCCTGGAACATTGAGATAGATCTAGGCCATATTGTTGAATTAAAACTCAAAGGGCAAAACAGTGTGTGTAGTATACTATGCATGCTTCCGTGTGTGTGTGTAGGCCCGATGCACAAATTCGTGCACTTGGGGGGTGGGGGTGGGGGTGTCCCTCAGTCTGACCTGTGCCCTCTCCCAGTCCAGGAGCTCTCGAGGCATGTCTGACTGAAAGGCTCCTGCCACCACTGCTGCACTCGGCAGCTGTGAGCCTGGCTTCTGGCTGAGTGGCAGTCCCCCTGTGGGAGCACACGGACCACCAGGGGGCAGCTCCTGCATTGAGCATCTGACCCTCGCCTCTCCCCCCTCTCCGCCCCCGCCTCCCCGGTGGTCAGTGCACATCATAGCGACCGGTCGTTCCACTGTTGGGCTGAAACCGGCTTTCTGAAATCCCCCGAGGGGTCCCGGATTGTGAGAGGGCACAGGCCAGGGCAAGGGACCCCACCAGTGCACAATTGGGGCCGAGGAGGGACCATAGCAGGGCTCCAGGGCATGTCCCGCCTGGCTCCCTCAGTCCCCATTGGCTAGACCCCAGCAGCAAGCTAACCTACTGGTCAGAGTGTCTGCCCCCTGGTGGCACATCATAGCGACTGGTCGACCAGTCAACTGTCTGCCCCTTGTTGGTCAGTGCACATCACCGCAACGGTTGAGCAGCCTTAGCGTATCATTAGCATATTATGCTTGATTGGTGGAACCAGACAACCAGACACTTATCATATTGGGCTTTTATTATATAGGATAGCACTAGATGATGTACAGAGAAATTAAACTTCAAGGTTCAAACATAGCTTCTTTAGATTGAATAAGCCGGTGGTATGTGTTATCCAGGTGGGTCACTGTGGTTCGTCCTCTGATTAGCTGTAAAAGGGGGCAGGGTTTGGAGGCCTCCTGAGATCTCCTCCCACCTCATAATGTACAGAATGCGCATCATGACTCTGACATGATAAATGTTTACTTTCTAGATGCTTTGTTTACGTATTGGAACAAGGCTTCAACATCTGAACTGATGGACTTTTTCACAATATCTGAGTGAGTAGCTTTGTTTTGTTAATTGCCTCTTGATTTTTCCTGGCCAGTGAAGAGGTGTGAAGAACACTGTGTAGCTGAACCAGGAACGCAGATATTCATATCCATACTCTTAAGCTATTTCTCCTGGATCTGATCCCAGCACCTGCTCTCAGGAGCTCATGACTCAGTGGTCAGTGACCAACCTTAAATTATTAGACATGAGGTTGTTATAAGAGATAACTACTAGTACTCTTGAGTACAAGCCATTTTAATAAAATAATAGAAAATGGATTAGCTGAGTTGGGTGGATGCTGCATTAAGTTGAGCCTAACCTATCTCAAATAGATGCAGAAACTGAGATAGAAAAATTGCTATAATTTTTAAATGTATGATAAGTAAAATCTTACATATTACATATGTTATCTCATTTTTTCTCTTTAGTTTAAGTTTCTGGTTTTCTTTAAGATCATTACACGAATCCACAATCCATTATCCAAAACTGCTGGGGCCAGATGATTTTCCAAATTCAGAACTTTTTGGATTTTTGAAAAATTTGCATATAGAGTAAACTCCATAAGACCTCAGCAGGGTCTCAGGCAACACCCACGGTCAAACACATTACTGCTTCTGCAGTAAAAAATTATTCCTGCAGTACTGTCATTATTCATAACCATTGGGTAAATCATAACGATAAGTAGTTTTATGTTTGTTAGTGGGGTCCTGATTCATGGCCAAATGAATTTGCACAAACTCACTATGGTGCTCTGAGCTTTGTGCGTTTGGTTCATAGTCCCATGACTTCTCTCTGATGATTAAAGGTGGGAGTTGTCACTTGGTGAGACGGAATTCAGCATCAGAAGAACTTACTGGACATTATTTTAACTGCCTCTTATTAATTTTATGCTTTTTTAAAAATCAATATTGTGGGTATATTAAAACAAAACAAAAGATGATGTCTGTAAGGGGCCAGTCTATTTACTTAAGCCAAAAGAGAGAGCTCCTTACATAGATTTGAATGAGCACGGATAAGCAACTCAGAGCAGTGCAGTAGGGCATACAGTTTCCATGGTGGTTTCTAAGGCACACTGCCTGGGTCCACATCTGAACCCTGAGCGGATGGACAGTCCTATGGGTCCTAAGCCTTTCTTCTGTGTGGCTTTCAGCGCCCACCACAATTCTGGCAGCAGCATAATATGGGGCCTCCGTTGCAGGTTAGAAATTTTATCTTGGTTTAGAGGGGCCTTCCAGAGAATTTCTGACAAGCTGAAGTTAAGAGGCTCGTACCGTGGTCAGCAAACCACGGTTTGCGAGCCACATGCGGCTCTTTGGCCCCTTCAGTGTGGCTCTTCCACAAAATACCATGTGCAGACACGCACGTTCAGTGCGATTAAAACTTCGTGGCCCATGTGCCGAAGTTGGTATTTTCTGGAAGAGCTGGTATTTTGTGGAAGAGCCACACTGAAGGGGCCAAAGAGCCGCATGTGGCTCGTGAGCCGTGGTTTGCCGAGCCGCAGTTTGCCAACCACTGGGCTAGTAAGAATTTATTGAATGTGTTATTGTTGATGGGCTTAAATAAACCAATGCATTGAAAATAATTTCATCTTCGTGTTTCCCTGATAACCTTTCATCCTGTCTGCAGGGTCTGCTTGCACCAGTTCCAGTACATGGGGAAGCGATACATAGCCAGGTACTGTGGGGGTTTCCGTTTCAAGTATTATGTCATTTTCTGTATTCCTTGGATCTGCATGTGTGGGAATTGTCATCTGTGGTGATTGGCAGTTGGGATTCTCATAAACAGCCATGAAGGCAGTTGGCAGGTCTTTGGACTGCTGCCATAAAATCTGTTTGCATCTTTCGCCTACATTCCTTCTGTTCCGTTTTCTCATGCATATCTCTTGGAAAGATCCGCCTTTGTGGCCTGTTGCTACACTTCTAGCCTTGCTTCCAAGTTCTCCCTCACGTCCTGTTCCTCTGTCTTCTTTTTCTCCTCTCCCACTTCCGCTTGAGGTGTCTTCTGGCTCTTTTCTCCTTCCCCGATTATTTCTCCTTCCCTGTTTTACTTTCAAAGGTTGTTTTGTTTTTTTTTAACCATTCCGTCTTCCAACTTCAAAGACACTAATTTCTCATCTAACCACATTCCTTTTTCCTTAATGAGAGAATGTTTTCAGTCCATCTCAAATGTGTTTGGACTTGCACAAAAACTAAAATTGAGCCTTTTCTCCTCTACTTCTAAGTAAGCTACCCGCGCCTTTTGTTTTTACCCAACCAGAACCCTGTGTGGAGTATCACAAACCCACACTGCCCTGTCCCACAATAAACGCTTGGTTCTGCACTGAGTTTGGGGAGAGCTAGAAACTCATGGCTGACGGGTACCCAGGCAGCTCCTTCTTGGGAGGTATTTCCCGGAGCACGTCTTGTTGTTACCAAGCTCTTACCCCTGCCCGGTAGCCATTCAGTGTGTCTGTGTTTCACTCCATGCTGTGTGTTCTTACGGGTCCTGGTCTAAATACCATCTTTTTCTAATGCTATTGTTTTTAATAGTTTAATTATCAGTAAACATTTGTTTTAAGAAAATCTTTAAAATTTAGTTGTAATTGAGTTATTTTCTCTTACCTATAATTTTGTTTAGTAGTAATGAAATAAGAGATTTTTAATATGTTTTCTGTCTGCATGAAAATTTTGCTTTTTATGTGAATGTTGTTCTTCTCTTGGGATATTTGAGAAATTTTCAGAATTACGTTTTATGTTAAGTAAAAGTATATGTTTTCTTTTAAAAAGGCCAAATTTAGAGAGAATATTTTATGCTTTCTTCCTATTAATATTTTCTATTTTTAATAGAAATAGGTTGGCACTTAAAGTTTTCTAATCTTAATTCTTTTATTTTTATCATAACAGTAATTTTTACATTGGAGATTTTGAGTACCAAATGCAAGTATACACAAGGTATCCACATACAGTATATCCCCCTTGACTTTGTCCCGTGGAGGTGGGCAGTGTATTTGTAACAAAAAGGCACTGAACCAGGCAAGCTTCCCACCCTTCCTGCACTCACTGTGACCTACGTCACGAGATGACATTAGGAAAATGTGCAAAATAGAATAACATGCCTCAGAGCTGAACGTGGTGAATGTGGGAAGCTGACATTTTTCTGCCCCAACAAAATATTTTAAAATTGGGTTTTGTGAAACCGTTAACTTATTTTTCAGTGACTACACATTTGATTTTTTAAAAGGAAATCCTCCAACTTCATAAGTACCTTGTATATACTTGCATATAAAAGTATGCATCTTTTGACCACCTTAAAAATGGATGAGCAGGGGATAGTGGAGGGCTGGGGGGGCGGGGGGGGTGCTTTGTCACGTGCTCTGTGGAAAGACACACCATGCTTTGTAGAAAATCACCACGGTCTCTGCATGGGAAAACGATTCTGAGCGGTGATTGAAACGTCATCAGTGTTTGCTGTTCACGGTGGTCTGGTTTAATGAGTACTGCGCCTTCTCATTGTGTCACCTTGAAATCACCCAGCAGCATGCTGCCCGATGAGATCCCATGCATGCCCTGTTCTACTCCACACGATAACACAATGAGGGAGACGGCTGGCTAAGGGATGGGGACAGGCGTCATTCCAGCACTGGTCTCATTTTTCTTCTGCTCTGGTGGTGGTACACGACAGGAATTTAGCTGTTTGATTGCTAACCCAGATCACTTTTCTATTTTCTTTACTTGACTGCTGACAAGTTTAACAAAGTGTGTGGCTCTTCTCCTTCCTGCCTGGGTAAGAATAAAGGTGTTAAAACTGCTTCATATAATCCTTCCCATTGCATGTTTGTTCTCTGTTTCTTCCAATGCATTATTTTAATTTTTAAAAGTTTTTTGCTCTTTAATAGCACATATAATTTAAAAAGATTTGTGGTGTTTTGGCAGTTGTCAGAACACTAACTTTAGCACCATGTTGACTGGTGCTCAATTTTTTTCTTTTTAAAAAATATTTTTAATGTTTTTTTAATTGATTTTTTAGAGAGACAGGAAGGGAGAGGGAGAGAGAGATAGAAACATCAATGAGAGAGAAACATCATCAGTCATCTGCCTCCTGTACGCCCCCTACTGGGAATCAAACCCATGACCTCTTGCTGCATGGGTCGATGCTCAACCACTGAGCCATACCGGCTGGGCTCCATTTTTTTCTTTTTAAGTAGCATCTCTAAAGTACTTTCTAAAACTGAAAAGTTCTCTGCTTTGGCTTGGTTTTCGCTTCTCCGTCGTCATTGGTGCTTTGCTGTGAGCTCTGTGTGTCTCTGGCTCACAGACCAGCTCTCTGTGCTTGGTTCTCGTGTGGCCCGTCTGCTCTCCGCTGTGTCCTCGCCTCACTAACGCTCCCGGTCTCTCTGCAGTGTAACAAGTCTAACTTTTGCTTCTATCCCATTTCACTCATGTTGCAGGAACCAGGAAGGGTTGGGACCCATAGTTCATGATCGAAAGTCTCAGACATTGCCTGTTTCCCATAACAGAACAGGAATGATGCATGCCAGATTGCAGCAGCTGGGCAGCCTGGATAACTCTCTCACTTTTAACCACAGTAAGTCCCATGACATACCATCGTAACAGCCAGCCATCTCATGTGACAGCTCAGAGGGGAGAGCCCCAGGCCACACCACACACCACATCACCAACCTGACTTTTCTTCCAGCTCAGAGCAAGTAGGATGAAGAGCTCAAGGCGCAGTTCCCTTCCTCGGAGGAGAATGACACAATGTGGACCACGGTCAACTACGACACCAGACCTAAAAGAGCTAGCCCCTTGGCCCCAACCTCTCTGGTTGTGTTTTTAAAACAAAATCTGGCAGGTTCAATAGCCAAACATTCTATGATATTTTTAATTTAATATTCGGATTCATTGCCTGTCACCAATTTATCATTGATCTCCCCCTTCGCCCCTCCCCCCCGCAATGTCTGAGAACATCTGGGACAGATGTTGTTCGCCCTGATCCCACGCATGTAATTGATCAGCGTCCACATTCTGACATTCCAGCTTAGAATGTATGTTTAACTGCTGTGAAACCATAAAGCCGGTGAATCAATTTGTGAGGGTGTGGAAAAGCCAATAACAAAGTGACTTTTTCTGTGTTTTCAGTGTGAGAAAGATATCAAGTGTGCTTGGAATTTCTGTAGACAATGGTAAGATTTAATCAGGTTGAAGTCTGCTTTCCAAAGGCTGCTTCACTTGCCAATCGAGACCTTCTGTTCATCTTGCCTTCCTAACTTTGGTGCTTTCTAACTGCACAGTAGAGACTCTGCCAAAACGTGGGCCCCTATTTTTTACTTTCTTCCGTCACCAGAGGGGATGTGCTGTTCCTAAAATTTAAGTGTTTCATCTTCTTAAGGGTTTCTCAAAGCAGAAAACCTAAAAGAGATCAACCATGCAGCACTTTGAAAACTAACGTGACCATTTATGATAAATACTGTTTCCATTAGTGGCGTGTTCTCTGAATTGTTCCATCTTTTCTCCAAGCATGACATAGCTAGTTATTGTTCATTCTGGACCATGTTTGTGCTCATTGTAAGTAACGTCTTTAATACATGGTTATTAATATCTCCTCATCATTTCTAATCATAGGAGCTCCATTCACTGTGACTTCCATGCCTCTCTCTTACTGTAGGCCAGGAGTAAAGACAATATTCCCATCACATTACATTGAAAATACAGCCGACCCTTGAACAACATGGGAGCCAGGAGCACAATCACCCTCACTGTCAAAAATCCTCGTATAACTTTTGACTCCGCCCAAAGTTAACTACTAATAGCCTATGGTTGACTGGGAGCCTTATCGGTAACACAAACCGTTCATTAACACGTATTTTATATAGTATATGCTGTATTCTTACGGTCAGTTATCTAGAGAAAATAATGTTATTAAGAGAATCGTAAGAAAGAGCAAATGCATTTACAGTGCTTATTGGGGAAAAAAATCTTCCTATAAGTGGATCCATGCAGTTCAAACCCGTATTGTTCCAGGATCAGCTATAGGTGGAAGTAAGAAAGCTGAAATCAAAATACAGCAGCTTCCCATTCTTCCTCCCCTGGCCACATTAAGTGTAATGGGCACTGTCTCTCTTTATAAAAGTCTAGGCTGAATTTAAATCGGGATTGTGTCTGCCACATACTGTATTGGTAGCTGCGTTCTGACTGACCTGTCGAGAGTGCATCAGTGACACGGCTACAGCTACCGTCCTTGACGGTCCAACATCGTGCCTGTTCGGGCTTCCCTAGCTCTGCAGACAAGGGATTGAAACAAACAAAACAGGGAGCTTTGTCATGTTCGGTCTTCATTTCCTAGTTAACAAACAGAAATTAAAGTTCCACTAAGCTGCAGGACCTGCTCCACTGCCTTAGCCCCGACCATGTATAACACAGGGACTGCCTCCCTGTCAGTTGACATAAATATTTAACCGTTAACACATGTCTTAAAAAGAATCATAAGCAGACAAAGGCCCCACCTCCAGAGATAATCATTTAGGAAACACAGAAAACAAACAAAAATAAGAGGTCAACAGGCGAATAACTAATCCGCTAAGATGTGCAGCAGCTCCTCCCACTACGAATGGACTTTGGGGTAGTGGCTTGAACTGGAGGAGAGAGACAGCTGGCTGGGTTCTGCTGCCAGAAACCACATTGTTAACACAGTTGATCTCCGTTCTGTCTTCCTGCTGCCCACAGAGGGCCTGGCCTTCTTGCCTTTCTTCTTCATCCTGGAGTTTTTTCTTTAGTCCGTTTTCAGTGACATTAATCCTCAATCAGTTTCTTCTTCTTCTGCCTTCCCAATACACAGCGTGTAGCGATTCTCTTACCTTTTGCCTGTGTTCCTACAATTCCTGCTCATTCCCAAGTGGATGTCTCATAGTCCTTGCATCTTCCCCTGGGTCTCAGTCTTCATTATAGCTCTAATTCTGATTATATGTATTTGGGTGGCTTTCGCCCTTCCCTTTCTAGTTTTTTGAGATTCAAATCACTAAGTCAGCCAAAAACCACAGAGAAGGGAGTAGGTACTATATGTATGCATGTGTATGTGTGTGATCATGTATATGTATATGCACACACATGATTGTTTACATCTATACCTAGACATTTTATGGGAAATTTATAGCCATATATGCCTCTTAAAAAAAATCTTATTTAACAATGAATACAGTACTTTCTGTTGGGCCAATTAATATGAAGTATATATAATATGTGAGATATTTTCTAGGATGCCAGAGTATAAAATGAATTTATTTTAGAGAAGAATTAAAACAGGAAGAGTCCCCTCTACACTTGTATTTATTATTTTCTCTTCTGTCCTGTTAGAAAAGGTTTTGTCAGCCCTCAGCATGACCAGCAGGGAGCAGCAGAGGACTGTAGAAACTTAATCCAATGGGGTCAAGTTATACCTTCCCATCACCCATCACTAGAACATAAGAAAAGACATCATAGGCACTACACATGTCACTCTAGCCGGGACTTAACTTTACTCTCGGATTCTAAGAGAATATAATGAAAATGGAAAACCCCCTCGTGGACAATACTTTTAACTTTTAAAAACATTCAAAGGATAGAGGCTTGTTGTTTGGGTCATTGCCCAGGTACATGAAAGGTAAATGTTTACATCATTAAGACATTGACTGGTTTACTGTAACGTGCACTCACTGTGTGTCAGTAGAAGAGATTTGTGCCAAGTAACAAGTTGAGAGTGATGGCTGTATGTAGAATATTTTATATAAACCAGGTAATGAGGGAGAAACGATGTGAAACATGTTTGCAAATAAGAGATACATTTGCAGAAATAATAGAAATAAACTTTGTATTTATTTTGATGTTCTACAGTATTCGAGGAATATATAAATTAACTTGCATGCTAATTCATATTCCCCACTGGGGTGGGAAAGAGCAGCCAAGCCGTAGAAATGCTTGAAGAAAACCTGTATTTCCTGTAATTCAGCGTAAGAGTTTTAGATCACTGGATTTAGTTGCAGAGTTTAGATTTCAGGTCAACATGGGAAAGCATTTTCTACCTGAAATGCCCATTAGCCAGTGTGGGCAGGTGTGAAAACAGAGACAGGGTGAGCACCCGATCATATGAGAACTCATCTTACCCCCAAATTCTTTGATATTTATGAATTGAGAATAGGAAAATGAATACGTGATCATTAAATTTCTTTTTTACACAGAGTATTAAATTAATATGAAAAATGCAGAGAATGCATATTCTCTGAAGTAAAATTAGTATTTTTCAAAAGTCTAAGCATGGACAATATATATTTAAAAATAGGTGAAATGGGCTGGATACTTTAAATGTCTATACTCGAGATAGCAAATAAAATACTATAAAGTCACATTTCCTGGGTTCTGAGATGTTTCTTTGATTTGGAAATGTAATTTTGCACATTTGCCAGCATTTTCAAAATTAGGTAAATTCTGTGGGGACTCTTCAAGTGTGTAGGCTACCTCATCTATAATCATCACCTGGATACCCTTAGCCAGTGTTATCTGGAAAGAGAAAGGACACCAATAAATTCAATTAAACATTTAAATTTAAAAATGATGACTTTTACAAAAGATTTGTAACTTCCCAATGCATTTTGGAGAATACATCCATTTGGCAAAGTGCCAGTTACCTTTAGCGTGATTGCTACTTATCTGTAGGATTTAATATTATATCTACCTCCAAAAAAAAAAGAAAGAAAGAAAAAAGACAATTCCATGCAGAGAAAGAATGAAAATAATCACCAAAGCAAGTTTCTTGTTATAGATTAACCCAGACTCTAAAACTTAATCTGGGGTAAATGGCAGCCCTCAGTAAAGGGTCCTTCTGGGCTGTGTGATAGTTTTGGTTGGTCTAATAAAAAGTGTAATTTTTTTGCTCCTTCTTGCCCCGGTTTGTGATCATTCTGTTTTCCTCTTTCATTGTCTCTGAATCTTTCCAAACAAACCTCACTGAATGAGGGCAAGCTTTGGCTTACGAAGGCAGTACCATACATATTAGTCCCCAAAATAGCCATCTTCCTTGTCTCTGGGAGATTTCTTACCCAAAATGCAGAAATAAAAAGAACCAGAACTAGCCTGGTGCCAGGTGTGTTACATGGGGTCACTAAGGGCACATGGACTGTGCCGCAGTGTGAAAATAAGGCAGTCCACAAACACAGCACTGCAACCACCTTTTAAAAGCCAAGCAGAATCGGATGAAAGCACACAGTAGTATTCTTATCATCTTTTGAAAAGCTTATTTTCTGTACCTTTTAAAAATTATCCTGTAGCTGACATTTATTAAAGTCAGAATAACATCATGCTAGTTACCTATTTTACCCTCGTAATGTGTAGTATGATACAGTGACCTCCATAAGGAATTTGCAGTGTAGCTTCTGTTTCTCCCCCACTTCTGGCCTCAAGAGAATTCTGTAAGTTTTCTGTACTTCATTTTCCTGATCCATGTACAAAATGTCCTCCTCTCTGGAGTATTAAGAAAATTACCTACAAAGTAAGTGTTGATTTGTTTTTGCTCCTTGGAGAAAGACATTACATGATGTTTTATTATATTGCCATCTTTCCTTGTAATCTAGATCAATACTGTAACATCTTTGCATCTCTGTATTTTCTGCTAATGCATACCATTCATAATTTAATATCTCAAATTGTATGTCAACCTCCATTTTTTATTGGTACTAAATTGATTTTACAGCCACATAAGAAGATATCAGTTTGTACTTAAATTATGATTCTTCAAGTTCTTTCCTTTTCTTAAACATTTCTTTTCAGACACACTGGCTTTTGTGCTTTTTATTAAAGCAAGTAGAATTCTATTAGTAGTACAGTCAACTCTTGATTATTAATCATGGTTCTAGCTGATAACACAGCTCTTTACATTATTGACTTAACGCTTACATAGCATTCACTCTGTGCCCGGCACTGTTTTCAGAGCTTCACAAATATTAACGAATTTAATACTCACCACAGCCTCTGAGATATATACTGTTATTATCCCCATTCTACAGATGAGGATAAAGAGGTCAAATGACTTGCCCAAGGTCACACAGCTAGCAGGTGGCCAAGCTGGACTCAGGGACCAGCAGCCCGGCTCATCTTCTTACCCCCTGTGCTGTGCCCTGCCTCTGTCTGTGTGGGAAGCTTTGGACATCTCCACCTCCCTCACCGCTCTCACCGTCCGTCAGCTCAGCCAAGTGGCTAGATTGATGGAGTCCGGTCCAGGTGCCTTCCTGGCTCCACTGTTTACTAACTGTGTGACTTAAGACAAGTTGTTTAGCCTTTCCGGTCTTCCATTTTCCTTATCTGCAAAGGGGGTTTAATAATGTACCTATTTCACAGGGCTGTAGAAGGATTACATGAAGTAATACATGTAAAGTTCATAGAATTATGGCTGGCATATAGCAAGCACACAGTAGATGCTTGCTGCTATTACTTCCCTTCTGGAGTTGAAAAAGACTTATAATTGAATGCAAACATTATTAACTACCAGCCCCCCCACTACCCCCCCCCAAAAAGTAAGCCTTCTATAAATAATCAAAAGTTGACTGACTGCACCATCCCGCCAGCCGCGCTGCTCTGTGCAGCCCCCGCAGTGACCTTGTGCTGTAATTCACGCAGGCTACTGCCACTCGGACGCAGACGTGCTTCACCAGTCGTTACTTGAAGCCAACATCGCCACGGAGGTGTGCCTCACGACTCTGGACACGCTCTCTCTGTTCACGCTGGCGTTTAAGGTTGGTATTGAACGGCTGCTGGTGGTCAGAACTCCACCTTTTACATTCGTGTGCTGCTTCAGCTGGGCCCGCGAGGCCTTCTGTGTTGTCTTTTTATTCGCTGTTGTTGCCCCTGTAAGGAAACCGTTCATCCTTCAATGCCCTGAATGAAATCGCTCCCCAGTTAATGACGTGAATTCCTCGAACTATAATAAAGCTTGCTTGGTCAGGGCGTGCCACAGGTGTGTGAGCAGTGGAACCAGCGGCGTGTACCTGGGAAACAGGCTTTTGCTGTGCCCTCCAGGGTGATAAACGTGAGCACGTACCAGGCATCTCTGCCTCTCCCCTCCTTAAACAAGTCTCAGTGTGGTAGCGGTTGAAACGAGTTATTTATCCATAAAGAAGCATGAAAGTACAAACGCATTCACCTTCTTAAATTTTTAAAAAAAACCTGTTACTCAATTAAATGGTAGGAGCATTTCAGGGATAGAAAAGGTTGTTTTGGTGTGATGTTTGGGTTTGGGGAAATAATATCCAGGCAGATGAAGAGGGTCTCTTCAGGCATTCATTCTCTTGTTTTTAGGAACGAAATGCTTCCCATTCTTGCTAAATGATTGCTTCCATTTCCAGCACAGAAGGGAGAAACTGCATGAATATTAATATGCTGTGAATCTCGAAACAGTTTATTTGCAAGGGTGTTTGGAAGACAGGACCTAAATCACTCTCTGCTTTGCTTATCTCCACTTCTCATAAAAGCTCGTTTCTTTCTTAGAGTAAAAATATTTGCTTAGCCTTTCCGGTCCTCCATTTCCTTATCTGCAAAGGGGGGTTAATAATGTACATATTTCATAGGGCTGTAGAAGGATTAAATGAAGTAATACATGTAAAGATCCTAACAGAATAAGTGTCTTTTCACAGGGAGCCTCCGTTCCTGCGGGCCTTAGTGAATGTTCCAGACTCTTTATGTTTAGTGTCTATGACTTTCTAATTAATGAGAGAGAGGCAGAAATTGATTAGAAAATTAAGGAAGGCAGCTGCTGGTGGTGGTGGCCGGGGGCGGGGAGGTGAGGGGGGTTCCTAGGATAAAAGGTCCTTTATCCCCTTAAGTGAGGGCTTATTTATATCTTGTGTAAGTGGGCTTTCATTCCACTCTCACAAGCAAGTTTTGAGATCAGAACCTAAGAAGACTAAATCCTGAAAATGGGAAGCAACACCTTGACCAGAGAGAGTGAAGGGAAAATAATTCAACTCTGAAGGGAGGAACTTAGAGCCGGGAACAATTCGGACAACAGGAACGGGGTCTCGGCAATGTTTGTGAACCATTTCCTCTGGACCCCTCAGCGCAAAGAGCTCCGAGAAAATAAAAGCTCGCATCCAAATTCGCCCAGACCTTACTCCACCCATAATTAGGAAGGACTGTGGTTCCTGGGAAAGTGGTGCTCGCAGACAACAAACCATGTAAGCTTCCCCGAACGCTGGAAGCAGCCTTTTTATTTTTGGTTGCTGAACAGTTGCTCATGGTTGAGAATTACATAATATTCAGTTAATTAAAACACGCTTCCTGCTCATTAGATTGCTTCTTCTTCTCGTGATGGAATTCAATACTGTGCCTTGGTGTTGCATAAAATAAAGATCATTGTGATTTCCAGGTGTCCTACCAGCTGTGAATGCATCTGTGAATCACTAAAAAAACAAAAAAACAAAACAAACATCCCTTAAATTTTTTCCAACAATAAGATGTGGTAACAGTTTGCTGGGAAGTTTTATAATTCCTCTTTTTATAGAAAAAAATAAACTCTCCGAAACATAAATTTAGTAACAGGCTTATTTATAATAACACAGGATTCTGTGCTTTCTTAGAGGATTCATGGCAGAGTTAACGTTGTAAGTTATCTTACTTGGTACCTGGAAAATTGAACCTTGGAGCCTCAAAACGGTGTGAGACCTCCTGGGTGCCTGCTGCGCCTCCCTAATGCAGCCGTCCTTGTGTGTTTTAGAACCAGCTCCTGGCTGACCATGGACACAATCCTCTCATGAAAAAAGTTTTTGATGTCTACCTGTGCTTTCTTCAAAAACATCAGTCTGAGACGGCTTTGAAAAACGTCTTCACTGCCTTGAGGTCGTTAATTTATAAGGTAAGCTGTTTCACCGGGGAGGTCATCGTCGATTGTCCTGTGTTTTTTCTCTTGCACCCGGAGGGGCGAGGCACACTGACCGTGACTTGGCTGCTTGCTTTCTCGTGCCCCGCCTAGTTTCCCTCGACGTTCTACGAAGGGAGAGCTGACATGTGTGCCGCCCTGTGCTACGAGATCCTGAAGTTCTGCAACTCCAAGCTGAGCTCCATCAGAACCGAGGCCTCCCAGCTGCTCTACTTCCTGATGAGGAACAACTTTGACTACACTGGGAAGAAGTCCTTTGTCCGGACGCATTTGCAGGTGAGTGTAGTTTAGCTTTCCCATACAAGCGTACTCTGAAGTTCTGTTCCGGCAGGGAAACTGTGTCACGTGTGCTGAATTACCTCTGCGTAAGTACTATGAGGTCAGCCTGGAGGTGGTATATTCGAAGTCACATTGACAGGTTTGCTTTATTTCATCCTGCACATTGTAAGATGTAACCTTGTAAGATTTAGGCCCAGGATGTGTTTCTATTGGTGAATTAATATTTACATGTTGAATCAACATGAGACTGACCGAAATTCCATTGAATGGAGTTTATTAGAATCCCTGTGAGGATGCCTCATGGTAACCATCTTAGGTAAGACATAAAACGCCCAAAGTTGTTCCTGTCTGTCTTCCAGCTACTAATATACACCTGTCTCTCAAGTATTAAAATGTCTCAAGTTCTCTGCTCTGGGAACCATGCCAGATACTGAAAAGTCATGCGTATTTTTGTTAGGGACTCTTTTTCTGCAAACATATAGAGGAATGCCCTCTTCATCCCTGTATTTATTCTTTTATTTAAACAAGTATGTATTGTTTGCAAACTACACACAAGGATCCATGGACAAAACAGAACCCCCTCTTGTCCCCCACGGAGTATACGTCCCGCTGGATCCCCAACACCCTCCGAGTGCAGTGTGCCCTGGGCTATAATAGAGGAATGTTAGTGCCCCAAGGAGAGGCATCTGGCTGGAGACCTGGGGGAAGGAGGGGAAGAAGCTCCCACAGAGTGTGAAGGATGAGCGCTGCTTAGCAACCCAGGGGAAAGGACCCAACCAGGGAACTGGAGAAAATCCTTAGTGAAGTTGAGAATGTGGGTGAGAACAAGTTGAGGAGGCATCATTGCCTATTTGGAGGGATTGCCTGGACCCCAGTGCTGAGAGTGGATTGGGGGAGTCAAGACCTTATCTAGGGAGACCGTGGGGAAACCACAGTCCGATATAGGCCAGAGAGGCTGGTGTTCTGGACCAGTCGTGGTGAGGTTAGAAGGAAGAGGAGGTAGAGGTGACAGCACTTTGTGATTGGCTGCGGTGACGGAAAAGGAGGGATTAAGGATGGCATCGATGCGTTTTAGCTTGAGTAACTGGGTAAAGCCAGTGCTATTCATTGACCCCCAAAAAAGAAAGATTTCCCTATTGCATAGTTAATATGTATACCTTTTAACAAAAAACGCAAAGGACAGTCTACTTATTAAAAGTTCATACCAAAAACCAAGGAATAGTATTTAAGGTCTCTCTTTTTATTAGAGAAAGTGATAGGTAATTGTCCAAATGGTATGGGCTTATCTGATTCTCTCCTTTTTTAAAAACTTACCTTTATTTTTTTAAAGTATTACAGATGTCCCCCTTTTTATTTTCCCCATTGACTCCCTCCACCACACATCCACCATCCCCAGACCTTCACCACACTATTGTCTGTATCCATGGGGTAGGCATATATGCATATAAATTCCCCAGTTAATCTCTCCAAACCACTCCCCTGCCCCTGCCCTCTCATTCCTCTACACCAGTGGTTCTCAACCTTCTGGCCCTTTAAATACAGTTCCTCATGTTGCGACCCAACCATAAAATTATTTTCGTTGCTACTTCATAACTGTAATATTGCTACTGTTATGAATCGTAATATAAATATCTGATCTGCAGGATGGTCTTAGACGACCCCTGTGAAAGGGTCGTTCGACCGCCAAAGGGGTCGCGACCCACAGGTTGAGAGCCGCTGCTCTCCACTCTCTTATTACCATTTTCCTGTGCAAACAAAATACTTAATGATAGCATAATCCCCTTCTGGAATACTTCTTGAAAAATCACTCAGTCATCATTTCCTACACTGGAGTGATCCCCGCTCAGAGCTACCCCTTTGCCCTGACTTCATGCACAACCTACCTGAAGGCAGGAGCTGAGCCCAGGTGAGGAGTCATTTGAAGGTGAATTGATTTGCTCACATTTGTGTGTCCCTAAGGTCATTATTTCCGTCAGCCAGCTGATAGCAGATGTTGTGGGGATCGGGGGAACCAGATTCCAGCAGTCCTTGTCTATCATCAACAACTGTGCCAACAGCGACAGGCTCATCAAGGTGGGTGGCCTGGTCCCTTTGTATTTCTTACCCCCAAGACTCTGCCTCCTCTCTACCATGCACGTGGACAGGCCGAACACGGCTGAAAACCACGTGTCCTTCTCCCACTCCTGTTTCAGCACACCACCTTCTCTTCGGACGTGAAGGACTTGACCAAAAGGATACGCACGGTCCTGATGGCCACGGCCCAGATGAAGGAGCACGAGAACGACCCTGAGATGCTGGTGGACCTCCAGTACAGTCTGGCCAAGTCCTACGCCAGCACCCCGGAGCTCCGGAAGACGTGGCTGGACAGCATGGCCAGGATCCACGTCAAAAACGGGGATCTCTCTGAGGTAGCCCTGCCAGCCTTCCCACTGGCTTTTTTTGAGAAAACTGTGCCCCATTCACTAAAAGAAGCCAATTTTGAGAAAAATTTCCCAGTAATTAAAAGAAGCCAATTAGCCCTAGCCAGTGTGTTCAGTGATTAGAGCATTGGCCCGCACACCTAAGGGTTTCAGGTTTGATTTCCGATCAAGGGCAACCCCGTTGTTCAATCTCCTTCCAGGTTAGGGTGCCTGGGGGAGGCAACCGATCAATGTGTCTCTCTCACATCGATGTTTCTCTCTTACTCCTCCCACCTTCCCTTCCACTCTCTCTAAAAAACAGTGGAAAGAATATCCACGGGTGAGGATTAACAAAAATAAAATAAAAAAGAAGCCAATTAAAAATATGGGATACTTTAAACAGTGTTAGGCTCAGGGTTACTTCATAGTCATGTAAGCATGTTAATAATTTACCAAATTGTAAGGGGATATGTATGTCACAAAAGGGCACTGTTTGAAAGCTCTTAGAAAACATCCATGTTCATGCAGATGCCTACTATTTCAAGGTCACTCAGTGTCTGCATCCAACATCCCCTCTAGTTCTAAAATTCCTCTATTTATGAGAAAATTAAATTTTCCTATTATTAAAGTATTGACAGGGCATAGGTTTTACCCCTTTTGAGGTTGTTCATTGCCATCTGTGGCCTTGGTAGATGTTAGAGCGCCCCCTCGTGTCCAGAGCTTCCATGTCTCAGTAAGCATATAGTGTGGGGAGCAGTTGGGTGTGTGCTCCGGGAAAGTGCCAAATCCCAGATCCAACATTTACTGACTGTGACACTGAGCCAGTTTTTAGCCCCTGAGTGTCGATAACATCTGTAAAACGGAATCAGGAAAACAGTAGGCTATACGGCATGTTCTTATTCCCATGAAAACTCTGTTTAGGGTTGTGCTAAGGCATGTAGGCGTGATCAATGGGATTAACAAAGAAGCATGCTTTTATTTGTAAACTTCTGTAGTTGCTTAAATTAGTAAAATTACGTTCCATATCTGAAAAAAAGTTTGTAACTTTTTTATGGAGTCCATTCTGTTTGACAGTTGTTCCACTTCTTTCCAAAGGTAAATTTGTCAACTATTAGGAACATGAGTCGGTGCCTTGGGATCTAACATAAGTACACACAGTCATTAGATTTCTGTCTACGAGCATTTTGACATGCTGTATAAATGGTGATTCTGAGGCATGTGTCTCTTGTTGCAGGCGGCCATGTGCTATGTCCATGTCACAGCCCTGGTGGCAGAATATCTCACACGGAAAGGTGAGGAGTTTCCTGTGTTTTGTGAAATGAACATAAAACTGTACAAACCAGCGAAGATAAGCAGGAGCTGTTGAGAAAGATCTGGAGGCGGGGGATTGTGTGGTGTGTGTGTGTGTGTGTGTACGTGTGTGTGTACGTGTGTGTACGTACGTGTGTGTATACGTACGTGTGTACGTGTGTGTACGCGTGTGTACATGTGCGTGTGCACGTGTGTACGTGTGTGCGTGTGTGTACGTGTGTGTGCGTGTGTGTACGTGTGTGTACGTGTGTACGTGTGTGTACGTATGTACATGTGTGTATGTACATGTGTGTACGTGTGTGTGTGTACATACGTGTGTGTGTGTGTGTGTGTGTGTGTGTACGTGTGTACGTGTGTACGCTATTCATTGTTTTGTTTGTGGGGGGTGACATTTGCCTGACTTGGTAGCACAGCAGAAATGCTAACATCCAAAAGAAAAGTGGGTGACATATCGTATCATCTCTTGCTAATGGCTCCGTCACCCAAAGACTAGTTAATGAGCTTTGCAATGAAGTGAGGCCAATCCTGAGCTGAAAAGATTTTATTTTCCCCCTTAAGATAGTTCCCACTGGAATTATTTATCTATCAAAAGACAGTTGTAACGGGAGCTCATCGGACAGCGTTTTCTGGACCAGGGCCCAGTTGGCTTTATTGTGTGAGGAGGCAGCTTGCTGGCTGGAAACCTTGCCTCCCTGTGGAAGGAAGGGCAATGAGTGAATGGTGCCCGTTTGTGCATTTCATGTCCGTTCCCAGATTAGCAGGCCATGAATCCTCTCGTGTGTTCCTTTTGGTTGAACACCAGTTGCTCATTTCCATTGCAAAATCAGTGCAGCCTCCAATGGCGGCGTTTATTTTTGGAGCACGAGGATCTTAGAAAATCTGGCCGTGTGTGCACGTGACAAGCACAGCAGTTCCAGGTCTGGCTAATGAGGAGGGTGTTTACAGAGTGAGAAATGATAGGAAGTCACAGATGCCCGGCCAGCGAATGTCTATATTTCTGGTGCAGCTGGCTATTTGGAATGAAATTTAAGTGAGTCTTAGGCTTGCCTACATCAGAGCCTGAGAGAGAGAGAAATTCAAGAAGAGCTCCATATTCTCTTACTACCAGCACGCTTTCCTTTTGAGACCTATTGTCAGGTAATACATTTCCTCATGTTTAGAAGCAGACATAGTCCGACGGGAGCCAACCCTCTCCCCCCACAGCTACAGCACCTGCCAGAGGAGGCGCCAGGGAGGTGAGCCCGGGGTCGGCTGGTCCATGGGGCCCCAGCCGTCCCATCCACATGACACTCAGAGGTGTGGGGACTTTCTTTTTCAACTCTGCCTGGACGGCCTTGGCCTCGGCTCTCCTTTCTCCTTCTGTCCCTGTCTCTCCGCTCAGTGGGCAAGGAGAGGAAAGCCCGCTGGCCACAACTGTAGTTGTCCCTCTGGAGTTAAATTGTACCTTCCAGTGTCCTCTGTCACCTAAAAGTGGGTGGTTGGCTTTTGCAGTTTTGCTTTTTGTACGTTAATGTATCTGAAGCTCCTGGATTAGGGCTTTCATTTGTCTCCATTAAACAAAAGCAGGTCTAGACTAGGATAGGGGCAGAGTCTCATGTGGAAACCTTGACCAGTAGGAAAATCTCTGGCGTTAGGTCCTACTCCTTTAAGACTTGATTTCAAAATTCTGTGTTCCTCCTGTTCCCAAAATATGGGAGGTCTGAGTTCAAGTTTTTTTTTTTTTTTTTAAATATATTTTATTGATTTTTTACAGAGAGGAAGAGAGAGAGATAGAGAGTTAGAAACATCGATGAGAGAGAAACATCGATCAGCTGCCTCCTGCACATCCCCCACTGGGGAAGTGCCAGCAACCCAGGTACATGCCCTTGGCCGGGATCGAACCTGGGACCTTTCAGTCCGCAGGCCGACGCTCTATCCACTGAGCCAAACCGGCTTTGGCCTGAGTTCAAGTTTTGACTTCTGTTTTGGTTTATTGAAAACAATGATCACAAAATAGAGTAAACGACGTTTCAAGTCCTTCATTTGATTATGTTTGCAGAGACCCCAAATGGGTCATTTTTGCTATAACCTTATCCCAGCTGCAACCTTATTCCATCCCCGCTTAGAGAGCTGAGTGCCTAGGCCTCTGAAGCACTCATGCTTTCTGTGCTCTTGCTCTCCAGCTGTGGGGGAAAGAGGCCTCTCCTTACCCTAGGCTGCCCATGTGGAACCAGCTAAGACAGCCTCTCGGCTCATCACTGTGGCTGCTGAGTTACATCTTAGTTTTATACACTGCTTCATGCAGGAAGGGCAGGTTCTGGGTTACCACCAGCCAGAGTGGGTGAGATGACAGCTTGACGGAAATACAGTTATCTTTGAATCCAATATTTTTCCTTGATTGGCTTTGGCTTCTTTATTTTTCTTGGTATCTGAGCATATATCATCTTACCAAATCAAATTTATTGTTTATTGGTCATCATTTTATAATTAATTCGATTCAATACCTAGTTCAGTTCATTTACAGTTCAAAGATTGCACACATTTTAGTAAAGGTGGGTGAAAAATAAAACAGGGCGAGAAAAAGAAACATCGAGGAAGCGAGTGAAGAAAAGCACACAGTGTTCCCCAGGCTCCCACGGGAGTGCTGGCCCGAGACCCAGGGGATTTTAAAGTCGGTTCTTCCATTCAATACAGAAACATTCAGGGCAGGAGGAACCCTCACGGTTCATCCACTTACGGGTTAACAACTCACTCTCTCCCCTGCTGTCTCGATTCTAGGCATGTTTAGACAGGGATGCACAGCCTTCAGGGTGATCACCCCAAACATAGAGGAGGAGGCCTCCATGATGGAAGACGTTGGCATGCAGGATGTCCACTTCAACGAGGTGAGTTCCCCGGCCCGTGCGGTTTGCAATGACGAGAACCTCCGCCCCTGTGGGTTATCCTGCCAGTGCGTGGGACAAAGGCCCTTCTTCTCTCGGTAGCTGCTGTTGACACACTTTGTCTAACTCACGTAATGCTCCAGACACCGGGAACAGAGCAGCGGACAGCTCTACCATTCCATCTCCCTTCCTAGGAATCCATCCTGGACTCCCGAAGGAGAGTTTGGGGAGCTGGTTAGTAGTGAAGTGAGGCTGAGAGGTCAAACTGTGAAGAAAGTTTAAAAATCACTATCCTAAAATGTCTAGTTTCAATGCTCTAACTTAAAACATGAGGAAGGAGGATAATATATTGAGTGTTTTTCATATTTAAATATTAAAATAATTTTAACCAAAATAGATAAAGTTTTATTAGCATCCTGAAATAAAAAAGCAAGCTGGTTATTACATGGCATTAACTGTTCAGCAGTCTCCACACCTTGAAATGCCTGGATAGATGTTAATTTTTTACTTTGAAATCACTGTGGTAACAGGGCCCATGTGTTCTTGGCCTTGAACTCACTTCAAGGCAAGTTTTAACTGGGTTTTTCCCAGAGAAGAAGCTTGAATGGATTTTCCCCTTGTAGAAATCACCCTTGTCCCCCATGCCAAGTCAGACCTTTGGGGTGCAGCCTTTCGTTTAGAATTCAGTAAGGAAAACAATGATGTCAACAACTATGAAAGATTTGAAAGAAAACAACTCTCAGGAACCTGTCCCACAGGGATGATACAATAAAGCTCAAGTTTGCTCATCTGATTAAATATGAGGCTGGAGTAATCACTACTGCCTAGAGAATTACCCAGTGAAATAAAGTACAGGTTTTATTGGGGAAATCTGTGAATGGCACTTACTCTGCACAAGAGCCAAACACGTGATAGGGATAGCTTTATCAGTCGTTTTCAGAATATGGATTGCGCACCCTGTCCTTGAAGCATGCAGTTGGTAAATGTTTAACAAGGTCCATAGGGCATGATCTGCGATGATTAGGATGTGACACATCAGGATCATAAAGTCCTACGCAAGCCGGGCACATCTAGATTGAAGCTAGTCAGGAACGGAAAGGATAATGTGTTCGAAAAGCCAGGAAAACAGACATTGCCACTTACCTTTCTCCTTTAGCTATCAGGATGTTTTAGGAAAAAGAGAAAGTTGAAAATCTCTACCGGAGAAGGGAATAGGTGTATAACACATAGTTTAAAAATCATTGTCCTTTTAAGCTGCATTGTTAGATATATTTGAACGCCTTTAATGATCTCCTAAATGATTTTAGAGAAGTTACCTAAAAATACATAATGCTCCTCCCAGCAGGCCTCCGATGAGTTTTTGTTGGTCGCAGTTCATGTTTCCTGACTTTGATCGCTAGGGCACCCCCCGCCCCGGCTACTTTTGATTAGATAAAAAGGAAGGAACATCCCATTTCTGTTTGTAATTTTGTTTCACAAGTTGGATTCTGTGCAGACTACAGAATTCTGAATCCTCTATGGTGTCAAAATTCCTCACAGCCCATGTGGTTTTGCAATCCCTCCGTCATTATGCCAGACAGGCAGGGTTCTGGAAGGAAATACTAGTAGGTGGCATGCTAGTAGGAAATTGTGAAAAGTCTAATAAAGGGACTTATTTTGAAAGTTTGGACAGGATTTAGGGAGACCAACAAGGAATATTGCAATTCCCTGAGATTAGCAGCAGCTAGGTTACTGTCTCTCAACCTATGGACTAAGGTTGGAGAGAAAGAGAAACTACACCAAGGGACTGCCTGATAGAACTGTGGGCTTTATTTAGGGGCGGGCACAATCCGGGCACCCTTGCAGGGAGGGAGCCATCGAGTAGCCACCCCACCCTCACTCTTCTCCTGACCTCCAGTTTGCACCTGAGCCTTCCATTGGCCGAGTCAGCCAGGAGCTAGAAAACAGGGAGCAAGCCAGATGTTCTAGTGCATCCACCTCCCAGAACACAGAGCGAGGGAGGGCAGGGCTGACCGGGACTCTAGAGGGGAGAGTGGAAATTGCAGTCCAGTTGCTAAAATTTCTTTGTAACCCTCAAAATCAGTATTCATCGAGGTGCTTGTGTGGTCATTGGGGACATGCATAGAGCAGCAAAAAATCTGAGCTTGCCTGTTCCTAGCTGAGGAGGCACAGGGTAACCTTCTGCCTTCTTGGTCTGGCTCTCGTGCTTTAAACAGCTGTCCTTTTCTACTCAGTGCCATGTTTTGCACATCTTTGTTCTTTTAGTTTGTGATTTTGCTGTTTCAAATGGCCCCCAAGTGTAGTGCTGTCTCGTGTTTCTGGGCACAGGACATCTGTGATGTACCTTACAGAGAAAATACTTGTGGACAATGAGCTTTTTTCAGGCGTGAGTACTTTGGCTCATGAGCCCAATGTTAATGAATCAACAATATATACTACAGTAGGTGTCTTGACACAGAAACACATGTAAAACAAGGTTACGTACTGATTGGTTCTCAAAAATTTTGTAGCCAGAGGCTCTTGGGAACCTAACCCTGTATTTCCCCAAGGAGGGGTGGTTCTGTCTTCACTAATTCATTGATCATGGTGACTTTATTCAGTGTCATTACCATGAATCATGAGAATAAGAATCAACTGTATCTAGCACACTCAACTGTTGTTTCACAGAGTAGCAACTATCACCACTGGGTGTAGCAAACATATGAAGTTAACCAGACAAGTCTCTGGCTTATATCAACCAAACTGTTTCTATTCAGAAATAGCTGCCAGTAACCAACATAAAATGTTTACATCTGTAGAGCATCTCAAGAGATAAATACATTAACAACATATTGGATGATTCCTCTATTTACACCTCATCCAAGCTTGCTGATTGTCTGTAACCAATAAAGTTGTCTTACCATCCACTTTTCCTTGACCCAGAGTGCTCTTAGAACCATAAAAGTTATAATGATTCCGCAAAAACAATAGCAGTAGGAGTAGAGTGTTGACCCGTGGGGCTTGTCTAATGCTCTACCCTTGGCTCATATCTGGAGATATGTCCCTGCTTCATTGTACAAATACTTGCTGAGCTTCCTCGGTACTGAGCTAGGTGCTGGAGATAAGGGGTGAGCAAGATGTTGTCCCTGTCCCAGCAGCTCTACTGCTTTTGATGCTTTCTTCCCATTGACGAGAAACACCTAAGCCACAGTCCCTTAGAATATGAATTGCAAGGTGTCTGAGTTCTTAGTGACCTGGAAATTTCTGTATTCATTCCATAAACCAGCTGTGTGCCATGTGCTAACTTTGGGATATATAAGTGAAGTGCCTGCCTCAGAAAGTTTCACTCAGTGCAGTAGTCCTCAAACATTAGTGTGCTTAGAAATTACTTGTATTCTTGTTACAAGTGTACTAGTAGATTCCCATTCTACACACACACACACACACACACACACACACACACACACACACACACACACATTCAGCTGGGTAGGTGTGGCACCTGGGAATCGTGTACTTAACAAGCATCCCAGGTGATTTTTCTAATGCAAGGAGTTTTCAACTGTATCTTGAGAAATAATAACATAGTTGGTAATAGGGATTATGTCATAAAGTACAGCATTGTCCAA